AAAAAGGAAATGTAAACATTTAAACGTTGAGTATTTGAATGCTATTTTAAGTGTAATGCTTCAATTTCAATGAAATTGAAATACTATAATATTGTTTGATAATGCTTTTGTATTTTAAAGTCAATCTCAAATTTTATAGATTTAAAAAAATACTACAGAATTCTGTGTTAAGTAGTAAATTTAGTATGTCGACAAAAAAGATTTAGTTAGTTTCTTTTTCTCATTATTGACACATTAACAATAATATGTTGAAGTTTGCGTTATGCAAATATACTACACCTAGAATGTTATGAATGATGTATTATCTCTTTAAGTTTCTTTTGGTGAAATTAATAATCTATGCAAGTGACAATAATTCTATTATTTTACTTACTCTAATCTGTAGTCTACTAGCCAAGAGATTCAATATACTTGCATTACAATGAATGACATTGTACTTTTCAAGATATTTAGTGAAAGAAAAAGAATAAAAACGAGGCCAACAATAGTTTGAATCTTTCCATTGACGTTTAGGACTGCAAATGGTCAGTCTCTTATTGGCATATGTGCATACTGTGCGTATTGCCTCGATATAGCCTTAATTCACAAGCATTATAAGTTCTAAATAGGACGAAACGCGCGTCCTGGATTCCACTGCTAGCCACTATCCATCTTTACCTAAAGTGTGAAGAATATTTATGAAGAAATAAATTTTATCTTGTCCGATATTTGAATTTCGTTAACTATGCAGTTTAGTTAATCTGATCAATGAATACGTGAAATGCGTTATTAAAGTCTATAGTGAAACTTTTAAAAACGTTTCAGGGGAATTCTGGAGTACTAAGAATCATTTATTAAGGTAATGTATTAACTAAACAAATACTTTGTAATAGGATAAGTTCAGTAAAAACACTATAGACTTCATTCAATACAAGACTGGGACAACCTTCGGCTTTCTGTAATGATGAAATTATCGAACTTATATAATTATTTTTATTTTCCAGTCGCCCATTCACCATCCAAATAATTAGTGATTGATACGTCTTGTAGGTTGAACGCTTTATTCAGATCCTAAGCTATTCTGATAACCCCAGGCTAGAACTACTCAGCGACTTGAACACCAGGGAGAAGACTCGAGTATGAGAGAAGACACTTTACTACAAGGTTCATTCATGTACAGAAAATACAGGGATTTTATAGTAATTAAAATACCCTGAGTTAACATAGTAGCAGTGCGTTAATCAGTCAATCAGGATCTCGTCATTTTAGTAACATAACTTCACACATCTAATTAATCGCTGATTGGTTGGGGCTCTTTATGAGCCTCTGGAGGCTCTGATAGAGTTCTCTGGAAGCCGACTTAACAGTGATAAATTATATTTAAGAAAAAGAAACGAAGCTGTTGATATATCTCGTTATCGAACAATAAATTTAAAGATGGAACAAGTTTTTGCAATTATTGGGAAATACTTTGATGAGGATACAAATGTGATAGACTAATGTCAAATTATCAAGCATGTATTCACATGCTAGGGATTTGTTAAGGTTAATATCATCTATTTTATAATGTATTATGGTACTATATCTTTCCAATTATAAGGGTTGGTTATTTGTTAACATAATTTTACCTAATGAAATTATAACACCTCTGTGAAAAGTCGGGATGGTAAAAATACATTACAACTTATAGAGATTAGTCTATTTTCACAATTAAAAAAGAACGGTACCTTTGAGATATCAGATCTTCATAAGGTGTAGCCTATAGATTTGAAGTAAATAAGTGATCCTGCTTTGTGAACTTGAATAGATATAAGAAAAAAAACATTATCAGAAGGGGGTTTTGTGGAGATTTTAGTAATTTTATATAGTTCAAATCATGAGTCAATTGAAGCTAGACAACCACAACAAGGCGAAACGGCCTTTCAGTGCTTCCAGGTTTTCCATGGTGGTCTAGCTTCAATTGACTTATGATCTCAACTATATAAAAAAAACATTAATAATTTTGAAAAACGACATTTTTACCGGTCGATATCATTCATTAGTTTCTGTCGAAACAAACCATGTATCAACAATGTTTTAGCAGAATGATTTTGAATAAGGTGATTTGTTAATACTTTAGGTTTTTCCGCTTTAAAAGGACCATATTATCCAACATCAACTTATATAAGTTGCATGAAAAAATAAAATGAAATTTTGTGATGAACTTCATGGTTAATTTATTACATATTGTGAGTATCAAGACATTTGAAAGTAATTTACTCGTGTAAGGACGGCTCGTCGGTAGACTCTAGGAAGCCTTAAGAAGCCCCAAAAGAGCCGTAGACATTCCATCCAATCACTGCTAGGGGAATATTCTAGAATGTCGACGTGTAGCTTACCGATTGGATGGATAAGAATGACCCCTATTTGCCTATTGGTTGTCTGAAATGATGATTTACTCTCAGTCAAAAACCATAAATACACGAGATTAGTGTACTATATTTTGACACTGTTTTGGGGAATAAACTTCCTACTTACTAGTCTTTTGTCTTCTCTTTGCGACGCTGCGGGTTCTGTCGTTCAAGTAGTCTAGTAGTACGCGGCATAATAAGAATCGAGCTCTAGATATAACACTTGTCAGGCAAATAATTTTCATTATTATGCATTTGGTTACTATGATCCTGAATCACAATTAGAAGAAAAATTATTACTTACAGTATGACCTTCTGATAGTTGATAAATAACACTGGAGGTACTTAAACAGTATATTTAACCAATGTGAAATATTTTAAAGTGACACCGTACAATCATAGCAAGCTTCCATTCCCGATTGCTTCCATCGATAACAAGGTTATTGGTCAAAATAATTTAATGCCAAGTACTAAATGTTATATCATAATGAGGACATAATTACAGGTAACTTCCGGGACCTTTAAATGGACTGTTATTCTATATATTCTTATTCTTTAACTATTGAGCAATTAGATTGTGTATATCTATATTCATCTTATTACGAGCTTCATTTTGACCTATGAATTATTATTATATGATTTACTGTCTCTAAATTATATTCAGTTTATTGATTATTGTCTCCCACATTTAGCTTGATCTTGTACAAATATTATTTTCTATTTTGTGGTGTGATGCGGTCTGTCTGTCTAGTATATAAACCGAGTATGCTTGAAATAAATGATTCGCATAATAGAAGCTGTAATTGGTGTTCTTGACTCAATTGGAAGGGCTAGGCGGACAAGAGGCCAATGAGGACGCTAGACTGCTTATACCGGTCTGACGTCATTGTTTTTGGCAGTGTTAAGAATGGAAAAGTCGAATTCCGATTGGTGGATAAATCATGTGACAAAAAGTCGGACATAAAGTCATAACAAATTGGCATACTGCCTCTTTATTTTTTTAATTCATAACACTAAACACCCATAGTTATCGATAGACACATTTCGTTTATTCAGATTGAAATATTTCTGAGATCTGGAAAGCTTTTTATATACATCACTAAATAACAAGTGTATAGCTTTCTTAAAGTGGCTTAATCATTTAGGCAGTGATAGAACTGCAATTTTTTCCTCATTAATACTTCCTAACTGTAGTCACATACGTCTCGTAAATGTTGGTAACTTCCCATTTGGTTTCAGCGCCGTCTGTCTGATCTGACTAGATAAACAAAGAATTGATACTCGAATTTTACTGTCTAAGACTTTATATTATTTTTTAAAGGTCAGATTAATTTCTATTAGTAAATATTTTTGTGGGACGCTTACTGGAAATGAATGGGTTGGAAATCAGAATTTTAGATCGTTGGTGGATAAGATAAAAAACTATCTATTCTTGCATTCATTTTCTGTATTTGCTTTTTGGATCTGCAATTGATCAGTCTCTTATTAGCATATATGCATCCTGTACGGACTGCCTCGATATTACCTTACATCACAGAGATGGTCAATTAAAGTCCTAAACTTCAATGGGAAGATTCGAACAACCAATACAAAAATGAATTTAAAACTTCACCCCACTGCACAAACTAATGCCTATCTGGACTCAGCTAAGGGTATATCGCAACGGCGCTTCAAACAAACAGTACTAGATTTGAGTCCTGGATTAAACATCAAATCTGGGATGCAGGTACGTCCAGGTGACGAGTACCAAATAAGGCGGAATGCGCATCCTGGATTATACTGCCAGTCACCATCCATCTCTGTTTATGATATCTAGTTTTCGCTTTAATCATGTCGCTGCATAGTCAGAATAATCTTATTCGATCATTTGTTCCTCTATTAGACCAATTGACACAAATCCCTTCACTATTTTTCATTATAATTTTAAGTAATTCAGAAATGTAAAGATGGAAATTTCTCCTGGATAATAATCCTATACAACTCACATCTTATGTTGTATTGTTTGATATTCCACAGCTCAGTGAAACATTGATTTCTAAGAGTTACAACCATTTTTGTCGATTCGTATCAGTACAAACAGCTTCCTATCATATCAATAATACGCTGGATCATATCAGACCTGAAGTTTTTTTATAATAAAATAATGCTTAACATGAAGTTGGATAGGCTGGAGTTCGGTTTCTTTTAAAAAATAAACCATCCTGTTAAAATGTTGTAGGTATTTAGTGCCCTTTGGTTTTTACTAGTCCTCAAGCCTAAATTACCTGAAACATTGTGTGTGAAAATCAATTCGTAATTCCAAGACTATGAAAGATGTATAATTTGATTTTGTCAAATTATATTCCACTACATTTCAAAGGAACAGGTGAAAATAAGGCAAAGCCTGTGTAAGTTCGGTAATGACAAACGTGAGAGACGTCATTCATATCGTATTCCGTCAATCTGTTTATCAAACAAGAAATCAATAATAAATATTATTATTGTTCTTATCATATAAAGACAATGAAATGCAAATGAATTTCAAATCATGAAGTCAGTAGTTTATGTTCTAGTCAAATACTTTATTTCCTCCAAAACGTTCTTAACTTCATGAGGACGGGCAAGGGCTTCGTCCTCATCGCCAGCAAAATGCTAACCTTCAGTGTGTTCTTGAATAATAGTTTGACAGGTTAGGTTATTCAGCTGTTTGCTTACTACATTTGAACTAAGATTACCATTGTTAATATGTTTGTGAATAGTACATGATTCGGACAAACCAGAAGATAATTCTTGATTGGGGGATGAACTTTCATGAAAATGAAATTTCGCTCCGCTTTCTCTGTCTAACCAGTTATATGAAATGGAAGATGGTTCGTATGACGTGTTCGCATTGAAATTCTGTTCTTCATTACCAGTGTGATAGAACTTATTGTTTTGAAATGTATCAATCGATCTATGGTAAGAAAACATTTTACTATCTAAATTTAAATCTTGGTAAGCATTGTTTCTATGTAACTCGCTTGGGGTATTAGCTATAATAATATCGTCTGATTTTGTTTCAAAGTTATCACACATACGAGATGAAAGAATCCTAACTTTTCCACTTTCATTTAAACTACTTACGAAAGGTGTTTGTAAATAGTTTGAATTAAAGTTCGATGTTAAATTAGTGAAGTTGTTTAATGCATGTTTAATACTCATTGATGAGGATTTAAGTTCATTAACTTCATCAGCTTTTTGAATTCTTTGGTTATGGATACATAAACAAGGCTCAAACAAATGATCAGATTCAGCGTCCATTCTGACTTGTTTCGTAATCATTAATTGACTCTTTGGACGTAATTTTTTTTTAAACTTTTTATCTGATTTAGCTGTGTGAGCGATTGAGTATGCTTCATTTTTCTCAGTTTTTTTTCTACGTTCTGTAAAAGAAATGAATAAATAATTTAGTTAAAAACTTACTAGACCTTTAGAATTTTTGTTCCACGAAAATATTGAACATGAATCACTTACCAAATACAAATTTGTCTACCAAATCCTCAGTTATATTCTTAATTTGGGGATTAGTTATACTCTGAGGTTGTTCACCAGAAATTCGAACATTTAACCTATTGATTAAAACTTATGTTGACTAACCAAGTGACCACTGCTTCACTACAACAGTGTACGACAGCCTAAACATATTTTTAATTAGCGGGTCTTTCATATGAAATTTATCAAGTAAACAATTTGGTAAGCTAACTTTAAGGTTCAATGTATTGTACTTTTCAGGATAACCTTTATGACCAGTCATTTGTTAGATAAATTACACTGAGATCATAATCAAATACTGTTCAAATACGAGAATATTTGTCAAGATAGTCATCTCTAGTGAAGGTGAATTGCTAAAAATGTAATTACATTTGACAAAATAATTATGGAATATCATTTTCAAAAGTCTCACCAGCCTTGACAACTAGAGGACAAAACGCTCGCCCTAGATTCCACTACTAGCCACCATCTATCTCTGCTTATAATGCTTGTGATTTGAAGTAATATCGAGACAATCCGTACAGGATGCACAAATGCCAATAAGAGACTGATCAATTGCAGTCCTAAACATCAATGAGAAGATTCAAGCAGATGATACAAAAATGTACCAACCATATTCGTTTCAAAAATTGAGGCTTATTTCCCCGTTATCTTGAAGTAACTTATAGATTTCCAACGTATATGATAGTACTTGTAGTTTTTTTGTACATTTTACACCATTCTTTGAAACTTGTTTCGCAACATCTAGACTACTTATGAGTAGCTTAAAAATAAAATCCTAATAAATATGTCACAACTGTAAATATTTGCAAAAAGCAGTGAAATTCCTGGTATTTGGTTATCTTTACCTCAGTTTTTTACAAGCTGTCAGTAGTGAATTTGTCAATAATTAATGAATCGCCACACAATCAAAAACTGGGAACTAGACAACTCACGGTTTAAAGAATTTAGAAACAATAAACAACATATATTTGGGAAATTTACTAACCTAATTGATCAAGTAGAGTAATAAAGAACAAGGGGGTTGGCAATATTGGAATAAAACAAAGTTAATTTAACTACATTATATTTGCTAAACTATTACATTAGTTATACAATGAAACAGTTTATCGACTGGAATAGTTGAGCCACATGTCACGTACACCTGAACACCGATTACCACGACGCTCAATGCTGACTAGTATTGAGGATGGTTGGAAGAGAGTTAGGGGCGGCCAAACCAAAAAGTGGCATCAGTACTAGAAGTTACTAATTTCTAGGCTGATCCATGTTAGTATATTCATACTACTTGATTGAAGTGCACGCCATTATCGTAACCAATGGTTGGAGACTCTGTGTGACATGGATCACAATCGAACACAATGGTGTAGATGCATGCACCCTTTGTCTTCTCTTAAACCATGAGGTTAAAATTACTCTACACCTTTCTTTCTAAGAATTAATTCTTTTTTCCAGTATCATATCCTTATATGCTATCTTTCTTTTATATATTACTACCATTGAAATCATTACTTCTGTGGATTCGGTGTTCATCTCGTTGTGTTAATGAAGTGTGACAACTTAGACCGATGCATATATGTATCTGGCTCTACGTTATAGCTGACTGGCAATAAAACAGCAACAAGGAACAAGTATGTGGACATTCAACACGATGCTCAATTTCAGGATTTTCTCTCAACCCCGTTCAGCCACCTAACATCAACTATAGTGTATATGACTTCGAGTCATTTAAACCAGTGATCACTTTGTAACTTTAACAACTGATTGTGATCAGTGCTACTGAGTAGACAAACATAGCAGGGCAAACATCTAACTCCTACAAGAAGTCGGTTGAGGACAGGATAGGCTGATTATAAAGTCCTAGGCTATGACATTGAGTGATCCCTGTACAATTCCCATAGACGGTATCGATGTTTAAGTTTATAAAGTGTATTTTGAGAATCACAAGTAATTTCTGAGTGTAGATAAATCACTATTAGTCTAAATAAATGAACGATTGCTAACTAATGAGTAATTTTTATTTTTTTTAAAATATACCTCTTTGAATATGAATTGATACTGTTAAAAAATGTATGTGATAATTCACTTCAAGTAATAATTAGCTTTTGATGAGGTCTATACATTGTGAAATCATGTCATGAACATTAAGTGATTTGGCAAATATATGACTATCACTAAAGTTGCCTTTGTTGTTTAAATTCATTATATTCTTGAATATATCAGGAAACACTACTATTTAGTTTTCCTCTTAGCTTCCCAAGCATCAGTGTACTATGACAATACTGGTTCTTAAAAAGTATCCTCTTTATTAATAATCAAACTGTGTTGATCAAGAAAAATAATGTCTAACAATCATACAATGAATGATAGTAACGAAGTATTGTCAAAATTAATTGTTAATTAATTGTTATCAGGACTCAGTGGCCGAGTGGATAACGCGATGGCGTTTGAAGCGAGGGTACTGGGTTCGAGTCCCAGAGTGAACATCAACTCTGAGATGCAGGTACATCCAGCTGACGAGTCCCAAATAGGACGAAACGCGCATCCTGGATTCCACTGCTAGCCACTATCCATCTGTGCTTACTATGCTTGTGAATTAAGGTTATATCGAGGCAATACGCACAGTATGCACATATGCCAATTAGAGACTGAACAGTTGCAGTCCTAACAAATCGATGAGAAGATTCAAACAAACAATACTGAATGAATTTAATTGTTAAATAGATTGCAATATTTCGCCCCAACTGAAATCATTTAATAATAGCAATTATGATCTAATCATTATCTAACTAAATGATCATCACATTCTCAATCATAACTAAATTTAATTTGACAATCAACCATTTCAGATGTTAATGAGTAAATTATAGGCTAAAAAAGAAAACGTATGAAAATCGTATAGTATCACAAACCGGTTAAATCTGAAACTTAAAGCTAGTAAAAACCAATTCACGTATCAAATGTTATTGTGCTCATAGCAAAATATAAGAAGCTCCTAGATTTAAATACTTGTTCTGTCATGGGTGTACACTTGTAATATCATTCACCATTAAATTATCTTCATCGAGTCTAAAGGTTAAACTATCGAGCTGATGACTTGTTGCGTTAGGCTGTCCGATGGTTTGCGAAATGGACTTTCTACAGTATCTCAAACTCACTACCCGAATACCAAGACTTAAATGAGCAGGAAGGTTTAATTCTCAAACTGAGTTACGATGTAAACAAATCACAGGTATATACACAACTTTCCTTCTGACCTAGACAAGGATAAAATAGCCTGAGACCTTGAGTAGATAAATAATCGATACCTATCAATGGTATCCTTAGTTGTAAATGCCCACATACCACTGACCTTAAGATAATATGCGAGTACATCCACGTATATATCTACAGTTGCCTAGCCTAACATAACTATATCTAAAGACTGGAAATAAACAAGTAGCATGTGACACGTTTGTAAGTCAAAATACTGAAATTTAGTTATTAAATCCTCTACATCTGATCATTATAGATGGAATGCAGCTAGCAGTCGAACTAAGACCGATCAAATTTCTGTCAAAATATCGACAACAGGATAATCCAAACTTTTACAAATCAAACCACATACTAATGTTATTTTGTCACTTAAATGCACAAAAATTTCATTTTACCTGGACTAATTGTTCTTTTACGATCAGTTTCATTTGTGAATTGTTCACTTCCATTTGTATCAAAGTGTTGCAGCTGGTTTTCTATGCGACTATACAAAGAAAATAAGGATAAGTTAGATATTCAATTTAATTATTGGTGCATAACAAATAGGTTTATTTATGATGTACTACCTTCTACTCTTTTTTTCTGTTTGAATCAATTTGACGTAGTAAAACCAAAACTGACTGAAGTCTTCTTTGCCTATCAAGTCATATTTTCTAACACCTACTCAAATCATTTTTCTTAGTCTAGCGATTAAGGTATAATCCATTTCTTTGTAAAAAAAGAAACTAGATTACTCAGTAAATTAGTATGAGGAATTTACAGAGATTATTGAATTTTATAAATTACACCACGGGCCGATCTTAGTTAAACAATCATTTTAAACTGAGAAGCACTGGACGGTTGTTTCGTTTAAGTGTACGACTTCTCAACAATATCCATCAACTACCCTACAAGGGTTAGAAGCCAAGACCCTCATGTCTCTTGGAAAGCATCCAACATTTAGACACCTGAGTCAGCACTCAGTAAATTACGTGTCTAAATTCAAACAGTTCCCGATATTGCTCAACCATAGTTCAGTGTCATCGGTAAGCAACTACCACTCATGGACATAGCTGAACTCCACTGGGCATAGATATCATTACCAAGTCTTGATTTGATAATTTTGAATAAATTGAGCATTGGGTAGATTGTTATAAATAAATAATATATTTGTAATATCCCAATTTTTCCACTGGGCATAGTTTCTTATTAAAATTCCGGGAATCAACTCTCAAAATTAGTGCTTTCTGGTTTTAACAGCCATTTAACTGTGATCAGTACTTCATGTAAACTAAGATAAACACAAAAATAAAATGGTCGTAAAAAATTCAGGAAGTGGATAACAAACTTTACTTCCTATCCACGGTAAAATTATTTTCATGTTAAAGAACAATTGGGTATTTCGTAAAACAATCATTTTTGTAACTATGATCCACTTAAAAAAGTAACATATACATATGAGTTAACAGTAAAGATAGAAATAGTTGTCCATTTTTATCATCTTTTCAATAATTTTCCATTCAAGGTGAGTTATTCATGAAAATTAAATTTAAAGAAAAAATGGAAATGTGTGTTCATATGAGTGAAATATTAATTGATGCATTATTGTGCTGACTACTTTAGAAAAATTTTACATATATAGTAGTATGTGTTAGACAGTCGATTAGGTATACTTTTAAAATAGTTTACACCATTAGAGACTCATTAGAAACTAGAGAATATTAGAAAGCTACTTTATCTTAGCAGAGATGGATAGTGGCTAGCAGTGGAATCCAGGATGCGCGTTTCGTCCTATTCGGGACTCGTCAGCTGGATATACCTGCATCTGAGTTGATGTTCACTCTGGGACTCGAACCCAGTACCCTCGCTTCAAACGCCATCGCGTTATCCACTCGGCCACTGAGTCCTGATAGCCACTTGCTTGTGCGATGGGGTGAAGTTTAAATTCAACTTAGTATTGTTTGTTTGAATTTTCCCATCGATTTGTTAGTACTGCAACTGGTCAGTCTCTAATTGTATGCACATATGCCAATTAGAGACTGACCAGTTGCAGTACTAATAAATCGATGGGAAGATTCAAACAAACAATACTAAGTTGAATTTAAACTTCTACTTTATCTTGGTTTCATATATTTTATAAGTGTATAACCATCTCATTCATTTTACGAGATTATTTAGTTGATATTTAATTGCAATTAATTCCTTTGATAAATTTCGATAGTGTAGTAAGAAGACGAAGATTATCAGAACTATGTTATACGAACTGTTGTTATACGAAAACTCAAACCCCCTTTGTTCTCGTTTTAAACCTACCCTGGTAATATATGATTATTAGCCAGAGTGATTAGGTGTCAAAGGATATGAATATGTGTTATATATATAATGTTTTCATATATGTTTTCAATATAATGTTTTCACATTATTTTTATTATTATTATCCTTGCCTATTCTTACCCCCCATTTCCAGTTTAGTTGACCTTTTATTTTTATATATAAATGTTCTTAACAAGTATATATGTGATCAGATTGTTCGAAATGTATTGCGCTAATATATCACATAGTTCTGATAATCATCGTCTTCTTATTACACTATCGAAAATTTTCAACTTCAATCAATTTTGAAATGATAGAGAACGGTAGTCATCTAAAGTCATCTATTAGTTACTGTTAAAATTTTCACTGATTTCAAAGATTATACTTCTCAACTATCTTGTAATTCTATACATGGAGTCAATTAAATACGATTATATTCGCAAGAAAATATCAAAGACATTTTGATTTCTGCACAATATTACACAGACAATAATACAATGAATTAACTACTTATTAAAACTTGAACAATTAAATTTGTAGATGGAAATAATTGCATGCTTATCTCAGTTGGAGAAGTGTAGACCACTGATGAGTCCTATACTTGGATGGAACAACTGTCCAATACCCCATAACTTTCAATGACACCCGGATGATACCGTCAATCATCGTCAAATACTACCTTTAAAATAAACTAATCTCCACAATACCCTCTCATATATTGTAACGAATACGCTAGTATTTTTAATGGTATGTGTTATAAGGAAACTTTAAATCAAAATGCTGCAAAGAATAAATTCCAGTGACATAATCATGACAATATAGTAACTATTTAGCATAGTTTTCACCTATGTGGATTTGTGAAACAGCATTAGAAATGTACTGGAACTACTTGCTTTTCATATGTAGGCATAAATGAATTCTCACAAAAGTGTTCAGAATTACAGGTAAATACAATTATTTTTAAAAATCTTAAACATCGATTAATATGTACAAATAATTGGTTCAGAGATTCCCTCAAATTCATATCAACTGGAAACTCATCAAAAAAAAACAGATGGAATACGACACTTTTTTTTATCCCCATATGGAACTTCTTAACATAATAATGACCCAAGAACCAACAAACTTAGTTTTAGATCAATGAGTTGATTCAAACTTTTAAACTCAAGCAATGCATAATCATATGATTTCATTAATAAATATTTATGTGTGAAGTTAAGCTTAATCTTAACTGTTTCTATAGTTTTATATTTTCTATCAAAAAAATTTAAAGAATGAAAACCTTATTTCTAGTTTACTTTAAAATATTTTTAATGGAAATACCTTCTCAGTCAAAATTGTCCAAACAAATAAGTTTACTTACAAAGTATTTACTCAAAAATTTTAAAATACAGTTTTATTTATCATTATTAACATTGTTTACAAATAAATCTGTCTGATTTACAGTCATGTTATATCTAATACATGTATATGGGATCATATTTAATTGTTCTAAAGGAGATATATAATTGATTTTAAAGATAAAAGATATTATTGAAAGCTATCTACTAATTTTAATCTGAATGATATCTAAATTATCATAGTTGAAATCATGAGTCAATGGAAGCTAGACCACCATGGAAAACCTGAAAGCACTGGACGGCCGTTTCGTCCTATTATGGGACTCCTCAGCAGTGCGCATCCACAATCCCGCCTTGCGAGATTCGAAGTTTCAATTATTCATGATTTCAACTATAAAATACTGAAACTTCCACGGAAACCCCTTCTGATCGATATCTAAATTAACAAGAGTATAGAAATCAATTAGTATATTATTCAATATAATTATTACTATACGTTAGTAAAGTCTTTAATTATTATATACATATTCAGATTCTCCAAAACGGATTCAATATCATTTCTTAAAGTCGATGAAATCTTGAATATTCTAATCCATTAAAGATAACATAATAAACTGAAGAGTTTCATGGTAAAATATCAAGTTATAATGTGTGTGTGCTTAATTCAATATCGATTTAAATTACGAGTTACAATGGCAGTCAAGTTTCAACTGTCATTTTATCATAAGACTTACCAATTATCAGGATCACAATCACGAAATCCTTTAGCAAATGGATTACTGGAAATTTTCAATTGTGTTACCTAAAAAATTTTTAAAAAATAATAAAATTATTAATTTGGCAATTAGGTAATTTTTTTTAGAATTTTACTCACTGAAAAGTAGAAATCATTTTCACTTTTTGTTACCGTGATCTCAGATTTTTTTTAGAAAAAAACAAACAAACGACTTTTTACAAAGTTACCAACAAGAACTTATTAACGTCTTAAAGATTTTGTAATTACTAGTTAAAAACAAAAAAAGAAACATTTATATCTCTATAAATCTTATTCTTTGATTTTATGTATTCTTATCGTCGCAGTAACAAATTTAAGCCCAATGTTTTACTTGTAGACTAATTATAACCACTACCTTAGATATATAAGAGTATACTGTTAACTAAATAAATCAATAAATTAGGTCATCTGGGTTGTGTTTTTTCTAAGAATTTCATTTTGAAAAATAATATCATTTTATAAGTTTTATAATTTTTTTTTAATTAACGCTTATTAAAAAGAAAATATTTACAAATAATCAATTCATATACTTATATTGTAGTGAACAAGAACACGAGTGGGGACCATTGAATGTATCTAAGTACAAATTACAGACTATCTCATTAAATTCTGCAAAATAACAATCACTTGTTTCAAATATCAGTCCGTCCTCTCTGATTTCATTGTTCATGCATTTTCGTACCGATTTCACTTCATTCCTGTTCTTTCTTTATCGATCTCCTGCCAAAACACATTCTATGTCTGACCATCACTATATACTACTTATGTGGAGATAAGTAGACTACACCACAAAATTAGTAAAAACAAATAGAATTATACCTATTTTGTAGAAATATCTATTAGAGATCAACTGCACTTTGTAAATTCTTCCATTTAGAAATTAGATACAGTAAACTATAAATAACATTTTATATGGTTATAATATACACAGAAAAAAAGATTTTAGATGTTACTGTAAATTTATATTAGTAGTTCAATCAAATGTATTGCTTGATTTAGTTAGTACTTATTTTCTTGAAAGTTAATAAGTATATACTCAAATGAATGAAGACCTTCGTGACTTTTTCGTTTTAATACGTTATAACACTTAAAAGTGAAGTACCCTAAAGTGCTTTAATGAAGCTAAATTAATATAAAAGAATGATGTATGAATATCTGTGATAGATACTGTTTAGATGATCCCAGGTTACCTAGTTTCTTGTGAATAAATATTAATCCTTTCCTTGAACAATAACCCAAATATTTTTTTCAAATTTATATTTTGTCACTGGCCTTTGCTGTAATCCAACTGATTATTCACATTTAGTTTACTTATTTTGCAATGTTTCTCGTGGTCATGTGTTTTTTGCTAGATATAAAAGGTTGTTTAACTTGAAATTTATATTCGTAAATGTCAAACTGTTCCTAAGTTTCTATATTCTCTTTGTTTTTCATTGCCTAAGAAATAATTTTCAAAGCATCTCATATCAATGGTCCGGTTTATTGAGATTGTATTAGATCCTATTTATATCAGAAGACCTACAATGAGAAGTTTTATATTTTTACGTTGATGGGAAAATATCTCGAACTTATTAAAGCAACCATATTAAATTAAAAGTATTACAATTATGTCAATAAGCCTTGAATTGTTTATTACCCTTTTTTATTTCTATTCTATTTTATTGACGGAAAATATTGTTGTATAACGTCAATTATAAAGTTTCAGTATCGATCCACATGACTTTCATATTTATTTTTGTGTTAGTGTTTATCATAGATGTATAATTTTACTAGTAAAATAAACTATTGATTTGGAAGGCTTAAGTCAATAATCCAATTTTCACAGTTATATAATATGCCCTTATGGACCAGGGTAATTTTACATTGATTATCGGGAGAACCGGACACCATCCAAACTTTCACTTGACAACCGAAACAGTGCAGCTCAATTCCGTTTAACAGGAGAGTCAGATACTACCCACGCTTAACCTGAACAATACAGCTCAATCCCACCCACTTCAATAACCGAAATATCATTTATAATAAACCTTGTTCTGCTTCACTGTGTTCGAATAGAAAATAAAATTAAATGACCAATAACTTAACCGAGATAATATTACTTAAAAAATGGAAATATTTAAACTTAGAGATTAACATAATTAGTTATTACTCGGTTATTCTGATAAGCAGTTACAGCAAAAAATTTTGTCTCTGGAAATATAAATGTTCTTTTCATACATTTTGATGAATTCGTACAAAATTGACTAATTTCTTGATTATTTCTCATAATTTCATCCATTTCATCTGCAAAAATCACATGTAATCTTGTCTGATATTTATGCATTGAATTTAATATTATCTAATAAATAGAAAAAAAAACAGTAAAACGTTGGAAATAATGTTACGAAAGAAAATTACGCACACGATATTAATGATAAACCGTGTATGGCGCGGGGCAGTCATTGACTGAAAACAATGGAGGATTTCCATGTAATATCATGGATCAGTTGGAGTTAGATATTAACAGCATTAGATTCCGACTCAGTGGTCTAGAGTTTAAGCGTTCGCGCGCGAAACCAAAGGTCACGAATTCTAATCTCGAGTGCGCTAATGTGGATGCACACTGCTGACAAGTCCCATAATAGGACGAGAGCGCCATCTAGTGCTTTCAGGTTTTTAATGGTGATCTAATATTGATCCATTCATGATCTCAATCAAATTGAATAATGATTAACAATGAAGATCTTAGGTCATGTATGACCCCTTATTAAGTAGTAGTCATGAAGATTGACTTGTGAGTTGACTTACTCTGTATAACTCAATCTCAATATTCACCACTTCAAATACCATAGTACTTTTAACCATTGACCTGCTCATATGTAACAAACATCTCTTGTTTATTGATTACTAGTGGTTATAATGTCTTGATATTGCCACTTGATATTATAAATATTATTTCTGTCAAAATGTATTTGTGCGTTGCTTCTTTTCAATGTGATATATAGTATATTCAAATGATCACCGCTGTATTTCCTATTTTTATTTTACTACACGAAAACTCTTATAACACTAAACAGTTAAAAAGCCATATATCTATCTCCCAGAAAATAGTCCAATAGAAAAGATATTATTACTGGATAATACGAATGAAATAAATAAATGTGATGGAGTGATATTAAGTCAAGGTAAAACCAATAAACTGTATACTCATACAATTTTTTCATTTATTTAGATGGTATTTCCAATTTCATTGAGTAAATCATTTACAGTTTCCACACCATCATGTATTTCACGGGTGTCTATTAATTAAATGTATAGAAAAAAGACAACTAATATTTTAAAGTCTATATTCATACGATTTAAATATTTGTACCGTACTTTGATTGTTTCATCTTCAGTTATTTCTGAACATAAGTAATATTAAGAAAGAAGATAGAATACATTCGAACATAAGTCAGTAAATCAGTGTCTGATTTTAACACTGAATATACAATCATTAATGTAAAAGACAGTAGCATACATCTAGAGAAATAATTATCTATAGGATGAAGTTGAAAGAACCTTTTCGATCTGAATTAAGGTGAACTGTAAGTTTCAGTCTATTACGAAAGAGAAAAACAGATCTTGAAATCTATACTTATTAGAAAACCGATACACGTGTTCACAAATAAAAAAGGTAAAGTGTTAAAAAGGAGAAAGTGATGTAACTCAGTAAATCAGTTGTACTTGTTAGTCATAGAATTTTAATCCTAAGATATTTTTGGATTGCACGCATACAATGCACTATTGATAGTATTACCCAATTAAGGTCTATTCAATACATGACTATTAATCAATATGAATAAAACCTATGAAAAACCAATAGACGATCAAAGATTTTTCAGTTTTAAAAAGAAAAACTTTTGTAAATAAACACTTACATGACCATTTTGATCAAATGGATTATTGGTTAACTTTAATTTATCAAATAATATCGCTTGACGCATCCAATACGTCCCACTGGCTATTCCATCTGGATGCAAATGTATTCTTGGTGTAATTTGTGGATCACCTTTACCTAAAAAATTCATTAGGAAATGATGGTAATTGTAATTGATTTAAAATCCCGGTAGTTTTATACAACAGATATGTTACAGTATCTGTTGAATAGTTCAAAAATAAATGATTGTGTAGAGAGCTGAAGAGACCTTTAAATCTATAATCTTACATAACTGAACGACCGTGAAAAACCAAAAACCTCTTTCGTTATAGTACGAAACTTCTTGGGTACCTATATCTACCAACCCATCAGGGTTCAAACCCATGATCCTTAGACTTCATGGCGAGTGCTTTATCCTAAGACTACTGAGTTAGCACTGATTGGTTTATATGGTTCATTCGCAATTCAATTTAATAACTTAACAGTTCAGGTACGTCAGCCAGAATTGGCTATTTGAAGAATCTAATTCGATTTATAAATCGTTAATTTAATTCTATCCAATAATACGCAGTATTTTTTAGTGCTACTCCTGTTTTTCTGATATGAACTAACGCTTGAATGAAGTGCTGAGATATATATCCAGACCTATAAATACATACAAATCCGATTGATCCCATGAAAATTTCTTCATGATAACCTATGGTTGATCCTAAGCGTAAATGAATAGCTTCTTTCGAATAGTTCCCAAACAATTATTGTAAATTAATCTTTTTTGCGAATTTTTAATGATATAAACTTTTTGAATTTATGGTAACTTTAGGGAGAAGGTCACTGAAAACCTGAGAATACTGGATAGTAATTTCATCCTAATCTAAGGCTCCTCACATAAGCTAGTCAATACCTTCCACGGATCGAACCCAAGACCTTCAAACTACTTAATGAGTGCCTAACATTCAAGCCACTAAGTTGAGATCTACTGGTTTACATTTCCAACTTCAGTCAGTTTTCCATACCGTGCGACTGTTATCCGATCACATCAGTGATATTTGTCTTACTCTCAACATGGTTAAACGTCAATAGTCACGCCTTCTCTCTGAAACTCCGAGAATCGTCTTTGAAATATATTTAGTAGTTGGTAAGTTAATTATCTAGAATTTCAAATTTCATAAACTCTTTATAGTTAGAAATTATAAATTATAAATTCTTAAATGTTTTCCTATATAGTTAGACCTTGAACCATCGGTTATACTGAAACTCTAAAGATATGTTTGTACTTGACAGCCTTTAATAACGTTCTGGAAAATAATAGTGTTTAGTAGTCGAATTTTGTAAGAACGTTAAAATTTTCTACCCATGAGTATCAAGTATGTATGTGATTTTCTGACAAAAACGACATAACACAGTTTAATAAAACGAGTAACAGAGTTTTACATCTGAATAACCTGAAGAATATTTAAACATCCAATTGTTCCATCGGAGGATGCATCTGTTCATTACCCACGTTTTTCAGTCTCTTTCCCAATTTTATCAATTAAAGATGAAGATTATTCTGATATTTTATCAAATATATACAGAACCAATTTCGTAATTATAAATCATTTACAAAGACTTTTCTAAGTTACTAGTGTACAGAATTTGCTTCAATGACTGATAGAGAAGCAATGAGATGTTTGATAAGAAAATAAATAAAGTAAATTAGTAATGAATTATCTTTTAAAAAACAAACAATTTACTCACCTGCATGAACCCAACTCGAAGTACGAAATGAATATCGATAACGTTTCTCATCACATGGTATAAAATCCAACGCTAACATATAATGAGCATCAGGTATTAATCCAGACAGACGAATATGAAAATTTGGAAACATTCTTCTGTAAAAATATTGAAACAATTTAAGAAATATAAATAATTATCATAATAATTATTAATCAACCCTTACTTTTCCCTAAACATAAGAAATATATCCTGAAAACTTCTTCCAAGTTTAAATGTTACCAGTGATCAAGATGTTCTGAGTTGTAATTCCAGTATTAAAATATCTCAATTACTATGAATTGTTGAATTTTATTTAAGTGAACTATACTTTACTTAACAATAGTATGTTAGAATGAGAATTCATGTATTATTGTTATTATTAGTGGCTTTATTGAATATTATATTTGTGGTACAATATAGAATTCTCAACACAAAGTATTTCAACAAGTTTCCATTTCTTATTTCTTGATCTATCCTGACGACAAATACTGAGTAATCACCAGTTAGAAGTTAGCAGTCCAGTCAATCGACATCTAAATAATGTAAATTCTTTACTCTGTATATCCGCAGTAGCCACAATATATCTGATTGGGCCTTTTGTAACTTGTACAATGAAAGGTTGTACACCTTTCAGAGACGCACCTGTATAGGTTATGAAATTAATAGCCATAATGATGTATTAAAACAAAAAATTAGATAACTTGTTGAAATATCTAGATGGTAGGAATAGGTAGCCTAGATATTCATGAACATGAATTATTACTTTTTGAATATTAATTGAATCTCTATACTGTTTGTAGCCTAACATATCTTGTTTATATCTGGAAAAAATAAATGTCACTGTTGGTGACTTCTATCACTGTTATTCAGCTTGAATATACGTAAATAGGACTTGTATGTAATACAAATACCGATGTTCATTAGTTCAAAAGTGTTAAATCTAATCGATTAATTAGAACCTGAATGAATCAGTATTTCTTTAAGATGCTTCACCGTACCGTAGCATTGTTTATAGCAGAAAAATCCATAAATGGCAAAATTTCCAAAAATTAATTGCAATACATTGGGTATTTTCTGTTACATAACAGTCTAATAAAATGAAGCATATATAGAACAAATATGAACTAAGAAGCCTAGGAAGATCGTATCACTATACTTTAAGACTTATCAACACTTCATAATCCCAATCATGCAAACACGGGACCGAACTTAAGACCTTGCTTTTGTCAAAAATTGACATGATTGAATCATTGAGTTGAAACCTGGTAATACGAATTTTAAACATTAGACAATTTTTGTTACAGAGTATCGTCACCTAACGTCTGTAATGAATTACTGTCGTACTGTTGATTTGGCTTCACATACTACACTTCCAAATGAAACTTTTAAAAATATTTTTTGAAGTTTTTCACCAGCTGACAAATAATTATTATCGGATCGAATGGTTTTGTGAAATGATAGAAACTAAAAATAATTCAAGTAACAGAACTGACTAGTGATACCCGATATTCAATTGTTATCATAATTGAATCAATTTGTGAGATAACCAACCTTCACAACATGTCGAATTTCGACAGACATTTCTCTCTCACCCTCTCTCTCTATACATATCTATACACATATTCAATGCCTTCATTTTATATCATCAGCATTGTTATAATTAGTATACTAATAAACGAAGATTCGAACTTATCCTTTTCTTAAAAAGTAACCGTAAAACAAGAGTAAAATTCTTATTATTGTAATTATATGTCTTGACTAACCTTCCACATTTGGTCACAATCATCTCAGTACCCAATCGATCAAAACTTTCCCATAAAGAAGCATTTTCAAGTGTAACTGATATATTTTTCATACTATTTGATTTCCACGATTCATTATTCAATACATAATCAATAATATCATGATTTGTCTTCGTTCTTATCGTTTCAATAAATTCACAATTTTCATTTAATCTATTCACTGGATTAATAATGGCATCGATAATATTACTATTATAACTCACATTCCAAGAAGATGTATCAATAGTTTGTTTATTTATGGATACAGTATCAATTGATTGATCATTTCTATGATGATAATTAGGCTCATGATAATCATAATTAGAATAATTATAATAATCTGTAGTAGGTAATGGATTAAAATTCGAACTCGTTGATACACAATCAAATTGGTAAGTATCTCCAATACAATTAGATTTCAAATATTTATTTGTATAATCACATTGGAGATTTGTATATGAATGGGATTTTTCAGTATCAAACTGTTCATTATCAGTTGATTGAAAATTATGATGATTACTACTGAATGGATTAAGCATCAGTGTTTCTCGTCAGTTTTATTTATTTGTTTGTCTTTTTTTACGCTAATTTGATTTCACAATGTACCGTGATCATTTACACATGTGATTTAGTAAACAAAATTTGAGAATGGTAAATGTGTTAAACTAAACACCTTGAAATAAAAATAGCCATCATCGTCATCATAATAAGAATAGTCAGAATAACTGGCGATGAATAAAGATACATGACACTATAGAACATTAATGCATAAAACATTGTGTTGAAATTCACAAGTTTTCACTTTTAATATGAAACTATAATTTTTATTTGTCTAACAAAAAAACGTTAAGAGATAGATTATCTGGTTAAGCTTACACTTAATTCCTTTAGCCAGTGATAATCACCCCTTTACTGGTTTGTTACTTAGACAAATATCAAAATAAATTGTCCAATTGAAAAGGTTTGTGTACACATCAAATAAATTCTTTTTTGTGTGCTTTTTATAACTATTGACCAATCATATTACATGAATTAAATAAAAGGGGTACAAGATATAGATGCACTTTTATGGGATAAAAAATGTACAGAGAGGTAATTTACTATAGTCGATTTAGAAGTAAGTGAAGCTTTATATATTAATGATGCTTTTTAGATTGTCTATTCTGTTTAAAAAATATCAAGTACTCTGATATGAGGGAACAGTTTAACAGATGGTTTTGCGCAGATTAGTCAAAATTGTGAAATTCTTAGTTATATATGACTAGAAATCCACGATGGATCGGACTAAGGACATATTAGTATCTGAATGCGTGCTTGGCCATTGGACCATTGAATCTCAATCCAGTGGCACACATTTCTAAACTCAATTAATTCACATCATACATTGAAGTCATGGGTGCCACTAGGGAGGAATCCCACACTAGGACGAATCATTTATCTCATGTTACCTGATTTTCACTGATCCTCCAATGGAGCTGAACTCAAAAGGAATATCACCTACAAATCGACTGTAGTTCTAATGATAGATATTTTAGTCAAAGCAGGTAGTAAGACCTGGATGATGGGGGTTCGATTTATGCGGTTTGTTATTGTACAACGGCACGGGGTACCACAGTAAAAACAATCTACTATCCAGGGCCCCCAGCCTTTCGACCAGTGATTACTTCTTTTCTGCTAAGTCACAACAGAAATTATCTTCTAGGATAGATACTTAAATCAAGTGAATTTTATTAACAACTATTAATTATTTTTAAGACAGTGAACTGTAAAGTATAAAATATTTAGTATAGGACAGTTTGTAACTCCGCCTGTAGCTCCTCTGGGGGTTGCTGCCGGTCCCAAGAACGGGTAAAGGAGGAGGGTTGGGCATGCGGTTAGCGACCCCATCCCGTAGAAAATCAACTCGCTAAAAAAACGCTAACCAGAAAAAATAATTCAAACCTTTCAAACTCTGCCCTGGGAGTACAAGGAATAATTATGACGTTTCATGATGAAAGCCGAGCTCCTTCGGAAGTCATGAGGCCGATGCACCTTCTTACAACCAGAGAAACAATTTTTATAGGTACATGGAATGTCCGGACAATGTGGGAGACCGGAAGAGTTTTCCAAATTGCTGCAGAAATGAGAAAATACAACCTGGAGGTTCTTGGGATCAGCGAAACACATTGGACGCAGGTTGGACAACTACGACTATCTTCAGGAGAACTTCTGTTATACTCCGGTCATGAAGAAGAAAATGCCCCACATACACAAGGAGTTGCATTAATGCTGTCCAGAAAAGCACAAAATGCACTTATTGGATGGGAATCTCATGGACCAAGGATCATCAAAGCCTCCTTCAAAACAAAGAGAGAGGGCATTACAATGAACGTCATCCAATGCTATGCGCCTACCAACGACTACGATGAAGACGCTAAAGACCAATTCTACGACAGATTGCAGTCGAAGTGCCCAACCAAAAACCTGACAATTCTGATGGGAGATCTCAATGCTAAGGTTGGAATGGACAACACTGGATACGAAGACGTCATGGGACAACATGGACTGGGAGAAAGGAACGAAAATGGTGAGAGATTTGCAAACCTATGTGCCTTCAATAAACTGGTCATAGGTGGCACCATATTTCCACACAAAAACATACACAAAGCCACTTGGATTTCACCGGATCACATTACACAGAATCAAATCGACCATATCTGCATCAACAAAAAGTTCAGGAGGACGATGGAGGATGTGAGAACCAGGAGAGGAGCTGATATAGCATCCGATCATCATTTGCTGGTCGCCAAGATGAAACTAAAACTCAAGAAGCAGTGGACAACGGCGCGGACAACATCACAAAAGTTTAATACGGCCTTTCTTCGAGATGCTGACAAACACAACAAATTCAACATAGCCCTCAGCAACAGGTTCCACGCCTTTCATGATCTACTCAATGGAGAGGGAACTACCATGGAGAACAACTGGAAAGATATCAAGGAGGCAATCGTTTCAACATGTCAGGAGGTTCTGGGCCGAAAGAAGCACCATCACAAGGAATGGATCACTGTTGGTACACTGGATAAAATTGAAGAAAGAAGGAACAAGAAGGCAGCAATTAATATCAGCCGAACAAGAGCGGGAAAAGCCAAGGCACAAGCCGAATACACAGAGGCAAACAAGCAAGTGAAGAGGAGCATCAGAACCGACAAACGTAAATATGTGGAAGATTTAGCGATGACAGCGGAAAAGGCTGCAAGAGAGGGAAACATGGGACAATTGTATGATACAACAAAGAAACATGCTGGAAATTACGGTAAGCCAGAAAGACCAGTGAAATGCAAAGAAGGCAAAGTAATCACCGACATTGAAGAGCAACGAAACAGGTGGGTAGAACACTTCAAAGAACTCTTAAATCGACAAGCTCCACCTAACCCACCCAACATCGAAGCAGCATCTACAGACCTCCCAATCGATGTTGGCCCACCAACAATTGAAGAGATCAGCATGGCCATTAGACAAATCAAGAGCGGCAAAGCAGCGGGACCAGACAACATCCCGGCAGAGGCACTGAAAGCAAATGTAGCAGCAACTGCCAAGATACTCCACATCCTCTTCAGTAAGATTTTGGATGAAGAACAAGTACCAACAGACTGGAAAATAGGACTTCTGATCAAGATACCAAAGAAAGGCGATCTCAGCAAGTGCGATAACTACAGCGGCATCACTCTTCTCTCAATACCAGGAAAAGTCTTCAACAGGGTATTGTTAAACAGGATGAAGGATTCCGTGGACACCCAACTTCGAGATCAACAAGCTGGATTTCGTAAGGATAAATCGTGCACAGATCAAATCGCAACTCTACGTATCATTGTGGAACAATCAATCGAATGGAATTCATCACTCTACATCAACTTCATCGACTACGAGAAGGCATTTGATAGCGTGGACAGGACGACACTATGGAGGCTTCTTCGACACTACGGCGTGCCTGAGAAAATTATCAATATCATACGGAACTCCTATGATGGACTAAACTGCCAAATCGTCCACGGAGGACAACTCACCGACTCGTTTGAAGTAAAGACCGGTGTTAGGCAAGGTTGCTTACTCTCACCCTTTCTCTTTCTCCTAGTGATCGACTGGATTATGAAGACGTCAACGACTGGAGGAAAGCACGGGATACAGTGGACAGGCAGGATGCAACTTGACAACTTAGACTTCGCGGATGATCTGGCTCTTCTATCACAAACGCAACAACAAATGCAGGAGAAAACGATCAGTGTAGCAGCAGCCTCAGCAGCAGTAGGTCTCAATATAAACAAAGGGAAAAGCAAGACTCTCCGATACAATACAATATGCACCAATCCAATTACACTTGACGGAGAAGCTTTGGAGGATGTGGAAACCTTTACATATCTGGGCAGCATCATTGATGAACACGGTGGATCAGATGCAGATGTGAGGGCACGGATCGGCAAAGCAAGAGCAGCATACCTACAACTGAAAAACATCTGGAGCTCAAAACAATTGTCAACCAACACCAAGGTTAGAATTTTCAATACAAATGTCAAGACAGTTCTATTGTATGGGGCGGAGACGTGGAGAACTACGAAAGCCATTATCCAGAAGATACAAGTGTTTATTAACAGCTGTTTACACAAGATACTTTGGATCAGATGGCCAGATACTATCTGCAACAGGTTACTGTGGGAGACAACACACCAGATTCCAGCAGAGGAAGAAATCAGGAGGAAGCTCTGGAAGTGGATTGGGCACACTTTGGGGAAATCACCCGATTGCGTCACAAGACAAGCCCTCACATGGAACCCTGAAGGTCAAAGGAGAAGAGGAAGACCAAAGAACACATTACGCCGAGAAATAGAGACAGACATGAGAAGAATGAACAAGAACTGGATAGAACTAGAAAAGAAGGCCCAGGACAGAGTGGGTTGGAGAAAGCTGGTCGGCGGCCTATGCTCCATTGGGAGTAACAGGCGAAAGTAAGTAAGTAAGTAATAGGACAGTTTGTGGATATTGTTTATATTTTATCGTTTATATCACTAATTGATCTTAGCTAGACTACCACTGGAAACCAGGAAGCTCTGGACAGATGATTTGTCGTAGTATGAAGCTCTCCAACAGTACGTATCCATGACAAGCCAATTTTGTAACAACCATTTGTATGTTTCTAACATGAACAACTTATTTCAATGTTTAATTTCATAGATATAGTCAATAAACATATGGCTTAGTTAAAGCCAAATTCAAAGTCAGTGTTCTTTATATCACTTTGATTGGAAAAATTAAATAAATACTAATTTTAAGAAAATATATATTATTGAACTATAGAATTACTTAATTAATCCAATGCTTACATGCCTAAACGTAAATCAATTGACTTAGACAATAAATAAATATGACTACTTATTATAGTAATGACCTAAGATGCAAACTGGAAATAGCGTTTGATATACTAGAGGTAAGACTTTTAGTTTGCTAATGTTCTTCATACACTATGCTACCTAATATAAACTTGAAACTATTACTTGTCAGTTCA